TACAGTGGTAGAAGCAGCATTTCAAAACTCAGGATAAGTGACAGAAAACCAGCAAACATTTATTTTACAGTCCTTTGCTGGTCTGTGTTTCTTAGTAAACACAACTGGTAGCATTGCAGTAGTCTATAAAATCATTTGTACAACTAATCTTTTTAATGTGTCCCATGCACAAACAAGCCATACTGTACAATGTCTTCGGCGGTTCATTCAGGTTGAGATAACCCAACATATTGGCTTTCAGAGGAGCAAACCAACTAATTGTTGCTCATTTAGTCTGAGTTCACAGAAGTTCGTCTATGCAGTCGAGCACAGCGATGGAAAGAAAAACAAAATCACAAATCTTAATTTAGAAACACCTGAAAAAAAAAAAAACAAGCTGGCGCGAGCTGATCACTGGGGTCTTCTGATGAAATTTCCCTACAGTGAGAAACAGAGGAAATATTAGATTACACCTGAATCAATCGGGAAATATTTCAAATTGTTCTAAAATCAAGGTTATTATAGTTAATTAAAACTAAAACCAGAAAAAAAAACATTTTTGTTACGTGAAATAAAGTTAACTATAACAAAATAAAATGCAAAAAATACACATACACACACATACATACACACACATACATACACATTAAACTAAGACTAAAAACAAAAAAATTAACTAAATTAAAAAAAAAAATTATAGACAAATTAAAAAACAAAAACAACAAAATGAACCCCCAAAATTTAATATTAATAAAAATTAGGATCTCAATGATACTTAAATAACTATATTTAATTAAAAAATAAATTATATAAATAAATATAAATGTAAGAAAAATACAAATATAAATATAATTAAGGCTGTAAATTCCTTGAAAACATTACTGAAAATGCACAGATTAAATCAAACTCATTGCAAATATTCACATATAATTGTGATTATATATAATAGTCTGGGGTCAGTAACTTTAAAAGAAATACTTTTTCAGCAAAGATGCATTAAACTTATTAAAAGTGACAGTAAAGACATTATAAATGTTACTAAAGATTTCCATTTTAAATAAATGCTATTGTTTCTGCTCATCAATTAATCCTGAAAAAAAGTACCTCGGTTTCCACAAAAATATTAAACAGCACAAACGTTTTCAACTCTCACAATTATTATGAAAAACATATCTTGAGAACCAGTTTAGCATATGGGAAGACTGAAGCCTGGCATAATGGCTGCTGAAGATTTAGCTTTGCCATCACAGGAATAAATTACATTTTATTAAAAAAATATTAAAATAGAAAACCGTTATTTTAATTTGTAAAAATATTTCACAATATTAATAGTTTACTGAATGCCTTGTTGAGAACAAGACACACACAAAAAAAATAAATAAATAAAAATCACTGATCCCAAACTTTTGATCAGTAGTGTGTAATATTATATTTTAATTTTATA